TTCTACAAAATTGTTACTTTTTCTCCAAAATTGCTGCAGGTCAGGGAAAGTTTGCGAACCGGAAGCGAGTGAAAAAGTTTAGTAACATTGATGTGAATTATATTACGGTACTGATATGATGATGATGATGATGGTGATGGTGATGGTGATGCTGGTGATGGTGATGAGGATGGTGATGGGGATGAGGATGGTGATGGGGATGGTGATAGTGATGATGATGGTGATGCTGGTGGTGGTGGTAATAGTGATGATGGTGGTTATGATGATGATAATGGTGATGATGATGGTGATGATGATAAGAATGATGAGGTGAGAGTGATGGGGATAATGATAGTGAACATGATGGTGATGTAGAGTGATAATGATGAATACGGTGATGATCAGCATCATCATCCTGATAATGATAATCATCATCATTACCATTATAATTACTACAGATTACTACAAATATTTCATATGATTTTAGAAACCAAGAAAGGGGCAGAAAAAATAAAAGAATTGCACATTTGAAATTGATATCAAAACTACCAAAAACTTTATCAATATGACCTTTACAGAAATATGTTTTTGTGCTGTAGATATGGGCAAGTCTTTGTGTGTGTGTGTGTGTGTGTATGTGTGTGTGTGTGTGTGTGTGTGTGTGTGTATGTGTGTGTGTGTGTGTGTGTATGTGTGTGTGTGTGTGTGTGTGTCTGCACAATGATGGTTCTAAATATGCGTCTCATATTTCGATAGACTCACATAAACATTTGCGTGAGTGTGTGTGTGTGTGTCTGTGCACAATGATGATTCTAAATATACGTCTCATATTTTTCTCTCTCTCCCTTACTCGCATCTCTACAACTAAGATCCCTTACCACTCTATACGTTCCCTCGCACAGCAGAACACCGAACTCTTAAGATAAGATAAAGTATCAGATGGCCACAAAGGTCAGTCCTTTTACAGAGTTCACTCATCTTCCTTCGCCCGAGACAATTGGTAATATTCTTGAGATTTTCAGACGTCAATTCGTCGCGTTGTTTGCTTTTGAAAGGAGATTCCGTGAATTTTTGGTTGTGTGGACTATACTTCTGTGCTTTTTGATGTGTTGTCGATACTGTTGGAATTTAAAGTATCCACGATTCCTGGAGGATTGACTCATATATTGGAATAATCATAGTGCTATATAGTGAATTATGACCTATTGTCGTATCTTTGCTGATAAAAGATAGATATGTATGTGGACAGATATGTGTGGGAGAGAGAGAGAGAAAGAAAGAAAGCGAGAGAGAGAGAGAGAGAGAGAGAGAGAGAGAGAGAGAGAGAGAGAGAGAGAGAGAGAGAGAGAGAGAGAGAGAGAGATAGAGAGAGAGAGAGAGAGTCAAAGAGAGAGAGAGAGTCAGAGAGAGAGAGAGAGAGAGAGAGAGAGAGAGAGAGAGAGAGAGAGAGAGAGAGAGAGAGAGAGAGAGAGAGAGAGTCAAAGAGAGAGAGAGAGTCAAAGAGAGAGAGAGAGTCAAGAGAGAGAGAGAGAGAGAGAGAGAGAGAGAGAGAGAGAGAGAGAGAGAGAGAGAGAGAGAGAGAGAGAGAGAGAGAGAGAGAGAGAGAGAGAGAGAGAAAGTCAAAGAGTAAAAAAAGAGAGACACTAATTCACATTTAGTACAATTTTCCTTTTTATAACCCTTCTTTACTTTACTCCCAACGAAAACACGATGAGATCAGATTTTTAAAAAGATGAAGGAAAAACGAAGTGACAACTCTGGTGATTTCGATACAGCCTGTCACATGGTATGACTCACACCTCTCTTTCCATGATATGATACTTTAATTAAATATTTCCCTTAACGAAATACGACACTAAAATCAACGCTCTCACCAAAAATAACGAACCAGTCTCTCTATTTAAAATTATGAGAAGAAATTTTGTATATTACTAATCACTTTAATGAGTTATTTTTCTATTATGGATGCATTTCGTCGTCCGTCTGGCAGCGTGACCTCGCCCCCTCTCTCCCCCCCTGCCCCCCTACCCCTGGACCCATTCACCTGTGACAAAAAGTGACGCAACAGGCAGCTAGCAGAAATGCAAGACGATAAGGTTAGTATTTTTCGTATTTTATGCTTGAATTACGATCGTTTTCGCCGGGTAGTGTTGGGCATGTGATCGATAAAGGTATAAAGATGAATTCCAATGCCTTTGAGATGATTTATTGTGAATGGATTAACAGGAAAATAATATTTGTCTCGTTTTGCATGCATATCCTTGGCGATAGTGCCTCGGTCTTTCCGAACATTTCGAAGTTTAAAAGGGGGGAAAAAATTATGCAGATTTATTTTTACTTTTGTACTTTCCCCTCAGGCTTCCATAAATGATAAATTATAGGAAGGAAGTTTCGCAAAAGAAAATGAGATTAAATGTTTATAGGGTACGACTTGTCCGTTTGTGATATTTCATCATCCTCGCTAGACTGTATCCGAAACCGTGCATCGGAGACTTTAATGTTCTGTTTCCATGAATTTAAGGGTATAATGTATAAAAAAATGTTACGTGAGTGAAATAGACGACTGTGATGAGAATAATAATGATTGGTGGATAATTAGTATAGAAACCGTGATGGTAATAATGATGACGTAGGTTTGATAATACCGGCGTTGACATTGATATTAATAACCATAATTAATGATAAGCATCAGAGAAGAATGCTGTCTAATTTAAAGAGATTGCAATTTGCTCTCCCCCCCCCCCCTTTTTAGTAGTACTTCATCTCTCGAATTATATATAGTTTTCAGTTTTCCACGAATATGTATAAGTCAGTTATATTCCGTATATAAATAAATGGATGTTTTTTTTTCATTCATCATCATTCTTCTTCTGATGATAATTTTTCTTATTAATTATATTTTAATAATATAACGATAAGGATGGTATTGACCATAATAGTAATGATAGTCTTGAATAGTTGATGATGATAATTACAAGACAGATGGTAATAGTATAATGATGATGTTGATATTGGTGATTATAATAGTAATGATAATAATAAAAAATATAATAATAATACTAATAATGATAATAATAAGGACAGTAATGATAATGATAATAATCATAATAACAATTGTAATATTAATATTATTGATGATGATATTAATGATAATGATAATAATAATGATGATAATGATAATAATAAAAATTATGATAATAATAATAATAATAACAACAACAAAACAACATCAACAAAAATAATAATAACAAAGCAACAACGAAAACACCAATATTAAAATTCATGACAAAAATACTAACACTAACAAAACAACAACAACAAAACAAGAATAATAACAACAATAACAATAATGATAACCTCTTACACTCTCTCCCTCCCTCACCAGCCAAGCACCGACTGTTCCCTCTGCCTGCTCCGTTTCGACACGGGACCTCGCTCTCCAAAATCCATGCCCTGTTCCCACGCCCTCTGCGTCTCCTGCGTCCTGCAACTCCTAAATCCTGGTGTTACGCCGGAGGTGGCACTGGAGCAATGCATCATACCTGGAGGAAGGACTATATTTTGTCCCAAATGCCAGTTGGAAGTGGGTACGGATGCCTTGCAAACGGATAGGTAAGGGTATTTTTTTTACTTTTATTTTTTATTCTATTTTATTATTATTATTATTATTATTATTATTATTATTATTAGTATTAGTATTATTATTATTATTGTTATTGTTATTATTATTATTATTATTTTATTATTATTATTATTTTGTGTGTGTGTGTGTATGTGTGTGGGTATGAGTGTGTGTGTGTGTGTGTGTGTGTGTGTGTGTGTGTGTGTGTGTGTGTGTGTGTGTAGGTGTGTGTGTGGGTATGAGAGAGAGTGTGTGTGTGTGTGTGTGTGTGTGTGTGTGTTGTGTGTGTGTATGTGTATGTGTATGTGTGTGTGTGTGTGTGTGTGTTTGTGTGTGTGTATGTGTGTGTATGTATGTGTATGTGTGTGTGTGTGTGTGAGCATGAGGAGGCGTTAATTAGGAATAGTAATGGATACGTCAATTTAGTGTATGTATGCGAGAAGACGTTGACTAGCAATAGTAACTAAAAGATCAAATTAGTATATGCATTAATTAGGAATTAATGGGTAGGTATATTTTCTGTGTGTGTGATGGGATATTGACTATGAATACTAATGGGTTGGTCTCTTTTGTGTGTGTGAATTAATAGTAATGGGGATGTCTATAGTATGAAAGTGACGATGATGATATTTCTGATAATAATAATATTAACAAGGAGGATTATGGTGACGACGATAATAAGAATGATAATGGTGATGGTAATATTAATAATAGTGATAATGATAATAACGGTCATGTTAATGACAATGACAATAATAGTAATGATGATAGTAATAATGATATAATAATAATGTGAATAATAATAATAATAATAATACTGATAATAATAATGATACTATTAATGATAAGGATGACGATGGTAATGACAATGACATTAATAATAGCGATAATGATAATGATGATAATAATGATAATAATGAGAATTATGATCATAATCGTAATAGTAATAATGATAATAATAATAATTTTACAATACTAATAATGATACTACTACTAATGATAAAATAATTATGATGAGGATAGTAATAATATTAATATTAAAAAAGTAATGATAATAATAATAATGATGATGATGATGATGATTATGATAATAATAATAATAATAATGATAATAATAATAATAATAATAATAATAATAATAATAATAATGATAATAATAAAAATAATAATAAATAATAATAATAATAATAATAATAATAATAATAATGATAATAGTAATAATAATGATAATCATAATAATAACAAGGAAAATAATAACAGAGATGACATAATTTGATAATAATGATTATAACAATAATAATATAGAATATCATATTTCATTATTCATATACAATTCTAAAGCCTAATAAATACCAATACACAAAATATAATAATTATTATTTAGATGAATTATTTTTTT